CCACCATACCCCCCACGGCCCCCGCGGCGCCCCTCTGTCCTCCGCCGACCTCGGCAGTGCGGGGTCTCAGTGGGAGGTTCTTGGACTGTGACGCTGCACCGTCAATCGGTTAAAGTCGAGACAAACACGTGACCTTTGACGGGACCGCCCCCCAGGTTTGACCCCCTTGGTTTCACACACACTGGACAGGAACAGGAACTGGTTTTGTTCCATCTCTTTATTTCTTATTTGGTCAACGCGTCGGTGTCGAGCGCCAACGCGATCACGTCAACGAGTTTCAACATGAAAAGTAAAGAAATCATGTCAAAGTGGCACCAGCAGGTGGCGCGTTCACACCACACTCTTTATTCACTCCACGCCGACACCTGATAAATTAGTTTGTTATTTTAGCCGATCGTTTTTACAAAAATATTTTCCCGCCTTTTATTGACTGTTAGCCAACGAAGACCTGAGTCAGTACCCGATCGTTCGGAAAACTCATCACTGATTGGACGTTTGTGTTGTGTGTGTGTGTGTGTGTGTGTGTGTGTGTGTGTGTTACATCCTCAGGTCTTTGGGGTTGACCACTCTACCGATGAAGAGCAGCGCCCCCGATGGGTCATCGCGGATCAGGTAGATGAAAGGGCGGTCCACGCGGTAGGTCAGGTGACCGGGGGTGGAGCTGGGGCTGGGGTACTGGTTACCTTCAGGCACCGTTTCCATGACAACCTTGTGATTGACAGTGCTAAGCTTCGTGACCTGAGACGAGATCTTCTCCAAGTCTGGGTTCTCCAGCCAATCAGTGAGACCTGGGGGGGGGCGGGGGGGGGGGGAGACAGCATGAGCTTTAGAGCGTTCTCACCAGGTGAGGGCGCAGTTCTCCAGTGGACTCACCCAGGTCTCCCAGCAGCGGCTGCAGGTCTGTGGAGTAGCTGAACTTCATCTTGGGCAGGGTGAGGGTCACCTGGGCAGGAAGCAGGGTCATGGACAGGTCCTGGACGAACTCGGCCGTGAGACTGTCCTCCATCAGCGTCAGGTTGGACGTGACGTCGTTGGGCAGGAAGACGAACATGCTGACGTCATCCTGCATCGAGATCTGAGCGATCTGAGGACGGAGCACAGGCGCATCAGACGGCCGCTTCAGAGGCCACACCTCCACAGCAGGAAGTACTCACGGTGCAGCCCAGGTCGGAGTCCACGCCTAACTTCATGGGGTAGTTGACCTGTTGCATCATGGGAACACGGACAGGCGTTCCACCGTCCAGCTGGAAGTTCATCATCTGGTCATCAGTGCCGAAGCGAGTCGTCCACTTCCCTGTTCAGGAGAAACACTGGTGAGTGGGGAGAGAAACACCAACCCCCCCACCCCCCCA